CTCGCTGACGAACTGATTCAGTTTTAAGCCTCAAGCATCGCGAACTAGTGCGTGTCGCAAGCAAAGAGAGAGGTATTGGATTTCCAGCTGATGAGAGTTGCCCTCGGGGCCATAGTAACAAGGAAATATTGTAAGATGACCCTCAGTACTGCAAAAGACCGAATCAGGTAGTCATCTAGCAACTTTCAAAGTCACGACTAGAAATGTGACGTGATAGTTTAGACTCACATTTTTAGATTTTTATAATGGATAGGTGAAACAGTCGCTCTAACTCTCTCTCTCTCTCTCTCTCTCACACACACACACACACACACACGATAGTTTGACCGTCACATTTGACGATGTCCACCGTGTACTCCAAAAACAGAGGGGTGCAGGGCCAGTGGCTTGGGCGTGAATAAGTTTTAAGTGATTGTAAACTTCTGCCGCATCTCCCGCACTCTGTCAGCGTGAACCCGCACCATGTTACCACATGAGTGCGCAGCCCCAGTCTGTGGTTCGGCCGAGTCCGGCTGCCTGAAAATGATTTCAGAAGCAGGCACGGCGTCGGTCACTCATTAGTATTTTAAAAGCCCCAAGATAATGTTTCTACCTTTATCGTCCAAAGGCAAATAACAATGAGGGACCGTAACAGCCTGCGGCTAGTGAGTGCACCGGAATGCAAAATGTAAGAGTTAAATAATTTTGCAAAGCAATCCCGAAGAATGCCGGTAAATATTTGATCATTACACTGGGAAAAGTCCAGCTAAAAATTCAAGGTGTATAGGTAAAAAACAGTATTTCGTACGCTGAAGGACTAAGAAGTTGAACTAGTCAATTTTTAGGAAAAACTAACATTTAAATCAGAAACGTATGGGTCTAAATGTTTAATGTAAGCAAAAAATTATGCATTGTAGTAGTTAAAAAGGAACTTGATGATTTTAGGAAGGAGAAAAACGATAAAACAAAGATTAAACCGTGCGTTAGCACAATTTGGCTGTCGTAAAAATAGAAAAAGATACGGTCCACCTTTGGAGTGATATCTACTGGGTGATCCATCTCGAAGTACTTCGGTGAAAAACAAGGGGTGATCAGAGCATATGTTTGCAATAAAATGCGTTAATAGTTATAAATATTGCTTGGAGACTAGTAAGATGGATCCGCAATACCGAATTCTCTGGTTCACGAAGTGAGATTCTTGGTTGCCGAGACCGAATGGCCGGTCCAATTTCTCTAAGACGTCATGTGACCGAACGGTCACTTCCCTCAAATTGTTTTTGAAAAACAAAGGGTTGCCAGGATGCCTATTATCTAAGTCGGCGTTAAACGTGAATCACTTAAGACACCCCACGTCTTCTTCCGGTTATCCGATTTGTGTTTACCTTTAAAACAATTCTTACAGCAAAACACTGATAATGGACTTAATGTATTTTGTAGGAGAATGGCCAAAACCAGCGAACAGGAAATTTACCACTTAAGGGCGCGTTATAATCATGTTCACGTAAAAGGGAAAGGGTCAACAGATACTTATCGACAATTTTTGATAAAATGCTCATAATACCACCCCTGCAAATGCGGAAATGCTTTGGCCACACACGGAATTTAAATGACTAGAATTTACTCGAAGCAAAGTGTGCCCGACTGACAAATTCACGGGTCTACTTATAAAAAACGGAGCATAAAGCTCCGGCGTATATAAAATTTCTGAAGAATAATGCTAAAAATGCCTCCGAGAAACCACGTGAATAAGATGCATAGCCTCCACATCAAATAGTTATGAAAAACGACGTACTATATTAACCTCGAATTTACTTCCGACCATAACATTCAAGGGCAATTTGACATAGTAAATTTAAGCCACAAAATATTTTTAATAAAAACTATGAGGACCGGAAGGAACGTTAACTGAAAACTGTAGACAGATTAGCGCCGAGAAAAAACACCCTGCGTTTAAGGTAAATGCCAAAACCAGCGCTGTTATTGCAATAGCACTGTAATAAGATATCTGGCTGTCGTTCAATGAAAGGACCGCGATTATTCCCCAGACCTACTGTGATTTTTTACGACGATTAGCTGTCGTCCCAATAAGTAATTGCCACTAAGGAAGTATTACATACAATTACAATTCATGTCGTTAATTGTTTAACGTAAACAAAATACTTATGGACATACAACTATGAAACGCCTGCAGACTGTATATCTGAAGGATGTTAATCAGTTAAGGTCCACAACATACGGAGAACTATTTGATTTCTACAGTTCACTTGTCTACGCGTTATGAAGCCTATACAAGTCCGACAAAATGGTCATGCCATCATTCCTACCCACTTCTTCCCTCGCAAAGTGACTGACCAATTCGTAAGCCCGGTGTTATAGCCCAGTTTATTCGGACCCGACTAATAGGCAGAAGAAGCGGTTCTGACAGGAAGGTTTTATTCCAGACAGAACAGAGACAACGGAATGAATTAGCGTGTTCAGTACAGCCTTTAATAAGGCGCTGGT